CCTAGATGTTGGAGAGTCACTAACAATTATTTTCTATAAAGATTGTTATTTCATTTTAAGGATTATTGTGTTAAATCTTAGGTGAAAAGAGTTATTTTAAATTCTGCATAGATGTTGTAGAATTTTAAGATAATTCTTTAACTTAAAGTTTTTCTCAATGTTTCTAAATAAAAATTTTAACAAAAAAATATTTTTTAAAACGAAAGGAATTAGTATTAAATTTCAAATCAAAATCATTTTTATCCGACACCAAAAATAGCATATAATTAAATGGTACCAATTTATGGGGTTTGGGGGGTGCTAATCTTTCTCCACACGTAACCGACTCCCGGACCCAACCTGATTTTTCACAGACCGAAATTTATCTTTTTGATAAACTTTAAATCCATTTTTATAGTTTTATTAAAAAGATAAACTTTTTGGGTGGTCAATCACACCCTAACAAATATTGATGGCGACTCCTCTCGATTTTAAAACTCCATTTACATCTGACGGTCTCAAAACCGTTACGACATTGCTCTTTATGTTTTCATTGTATGATGATGTTGATGATGCTGGGGTATACAGGGACTGAGTATCGGTTGAGATGAAGATTCTAGGATTTAAATTTTGTATTTAGAAATTTTATCTGCTAATCCAAATTTATTTTCATACAAGTTTAATCCAACTTTAAATTTTCTTTTGCAGACTTTCAAGAGTTTTGATATTGATATCCCTTATCTGATTTCCTTTTTTAATTTGATTTTTTATTTCCCTTTTTTTAATCTTTATCTTTTTGTATTTTTTTTATCAATATAATAAAATAAAATAACAAAAATAGAAAATATAAATGCAAGCAAGCAAAAAATGGTCCATATCAAAATGGGCCTCCACACCTAATAAAAAAAAAAACTCTAGTCCCAATGATTACAGTTCATAGCTCAGTTGCATCTCAATACTTTTAAATGGGCTAAGATTAGAGATTAATTAAAAAATTTAAATAAAAATTTCGAATATTAAAAACTCTAAACTAATATCGATGTTTACAGTATGTTAAACAATTAATCACTTAAATTAATAATAAATTTTTGTACAGGCAAGTATAAGAAAAAGAGGTGAGGACAAATAAATCAAAGTTAAGAAATTTTTGTACAATAAATTTAATTTCAAGCCAACGGCCTCGACATCATCCAAAAAGAAAGAATGCCCCCTTTTATGTTTCTATTTATTGCAGCATTTATTGTTTATAATTTTCATTCCTGCACTTCTTGCTATAATAATGTCACTCAATATATAACAGGCTCGTTACAACCTGTGTGATGCTCCGATGGGTATTTTTTTTTTAATATTTAATGATATCAAAATATTGAAATTAAAATCAACGAAATGATTTATATAATATAATATTTTAAATTTAAAATTATTCAATAGTAATGCTCTTTTCTTTAATTCTCTACATTAACAAAGGGTGCAAATGAATCATAGTCTTTACATCATGCATGCTGGCAATTAGGGAGATTGTTTTGCCATCTTAGATCTCATGTTGAGCTTCCATTTTAAATTGGAAATAATTTCTTTTTTTTGGTACTTTTTTTCCCTTTTAGATTTCATTTGTTTCAATGGAGACCGATTTCTGAAAGTTATAATTTTCGCAATTTTCTGTATTTGAAGATAAAAAAATGACCATCAAAATCTATCTCCTCCACACCCTCTCTTTCCTACAACCATTAAAATCCTTCTTTGCTTGTTTCTCTTGCAGCTATAAAAATGCTCAAAAGCTACTTACTCCACAAGTTTTCATTGTGCAAATCAAACTAAAAACACTGGGAGAGACAGATTTGAAGAGAGGTATTACAGATTTTGAATACCCATAAAAGACTTATCCACAAGTTTATGTTGGCCAACAAGATTTTGAAAAGCAATGAAATACCCAAGGTTTTGCGCCTTTTTTTTTTTGTGAGTTTTGAAATGGATTTTGATAAAAAAAAGAATTGGAGTATTGTGAGAAATTGATAATTGATTTTTATCAAGAAGAATTGAGAAATTGATGATTAATAGTGAAATAAAAGTTAAAAAAGAGAGTGGAAGGAAGATTATTGATTTTTATTTGAAACAAACACCAAAAATTGTTTTTTTTTTCTCAAAAACCATCCAAATAAAAAAATCATCTTTTCAGAAAATGTCTTTCAAGGAAATGTTTTGTTTTCCTAAAGTGGCTTTAGGTTTAGCAATTACAGCCTTAGCTATCATTCATTGTACATGGTATAAGAGTGTAATTGATCAAGTTAAAACCGATACAATATTAAGTTTAAGCTCGACTCAAAATTTTAGGCTTAAAACTCAATTCGAACTCGATTGAATTTTATTTTTTTAATTTAAATTCGACTTAAAATAAAAATCGAACTACTTGAGCTCGTTTGATTATGCTCAATTAACATTTAAAAATAAACTCAATTCTTATATTTGATAAAATCTCGATTATTTGTGCTTAAATTTGAGATATTTTATTAATTAAAATAATAAAAAATATATTAAAAATAAAAATTTAATTAGACTCGTAAACTACTTGAGCCGAATATAGAAATGTTCAAACTTAGCTTGATCGATAAGTCGAACTACTCAAACTTGAGCTTGACTCGATAATAACTAAGACAAATTCGAGTTTTATTCAAGTCAAACCTAAGAAATTTGTGAGTATTAATGTATCATTTACACCTCTAATTTAATAATATTTTAGTATCATAAAATCAAAGTTTTCAATTTTCAAAAGTTTGTACCATATTATTCCAAGATCATCATCTCATATATCATCATTGACTTATCACAATTTTGTAAGACCATAAACATGAATGATGAGCTTCAATTTTAAATTGAAAAGAATTATGTGTTTCATTATGATTTTTTTTTTGGGCATTTTTTTCTTGCCTTTTTATGATCATTCATTGCGTTTGACAATATTGTAATATCATAAAATCAAAAATCTCAATTTTCATGAGTTTGTACTATATTATACCAACATCACCTCATATATCATCATTGGCATACCACAAATGTGTAAGAGTAAACATTTCTATCAAGATGGTTTAAATGGTATTATTAAAATACTTTTTTCAATAAATTATTAGTTAAGGTATAATAAAGAATTGTTAAATTAAATTATCCTCTTATTATTAGTTTATTTTAGGTTGAATTCCCATTATAAAATTATCTACCTAGGGGGAGGAAGCGAGATTCAAAACAGAGAATTGGAAAAGAAAGAGACCTTTAGAATTTTCTTTGCAATTAATGTATAGAAAACCTTTAGTAATCAGTTTTCTTGCTTTCTAAAGTACTCTAGAAGTAGGGTTGGAAAGTGCAGAAGAACATGCACCAAAATACCGGGAAAATAAAATTGTTCTTTGTCTTTACCATCAAGGAAAAAATTCTCCAATTTGGTCCAATGGATTCTGTTTCCCATTCCAAGTCAATGGACGTGAAAGACATTTAAGGTTTGTTGTTACTGAGAAGTAGCTGTATTATTACTTAATTCCTAGACTATAGAACACTTCAAAGTTAATCTGTATGAGTAATTACCACATTTAATATGACCTTTTGCACGGGCTTATCTCGTTTGAAAGATAGAACATTTCAAAAAAGATAGAAGAAAAGACTTCAACTCCAACAATTGGTTATTTTTTATCATTATTATTTTGTTTTGTTTAATTTTGGTAAGACTTGGACTCTTAATGTTTTCATGTAGCGAGCTGACATCTGCTTCTTTTTTTTTTTTTTTGGATTTTAATACAATTATCAATTATCCAAAAAAAAATTAATAGAGACAATGTCTAAAACATTTTGAAAGACAAATTTCCAGTTTTTACATAATATTTCATCTGTGGTATTTACTACAAGCTTATTATACATAGAATAAATTTGGTAACATTCCAACTATAAAAAATACATCCAAATTGAAGAAATTGTATGGTGGAGAAGAAAGAGCAAGTACGTGTTGTCCTTTCTTTGAACTTTCTTTGCAATAATATTATTAATCAATTAGAAAGAGAAGACTTTAAGTAAACATCCACGCAAAAGCAAATCGACATTGGATCCTTTTCTAACTTAATATTAGCTTTTAGAGATAGAAGACATGAAAAATGTGGCTGTTGCATGCAATCGTCTAAACACAGTGTGAAATGATCTTGTTTATTTGGCTACTACGGGAGACACAAATTCCCCAATCTGATCCAACGTGTTTTCTTTTCCATTTGAAATGAATGGTAGTCAATAAACTTGTACTCCCGTTCAATGGAAAACGTATGACAAATGTGGCTGTTACAGGTACATGTTTTTGCTTCCCTTGTAAGGAGAATAAAAAACAAGAAAGAATAAAAGAAATATAAGAGATGGCATGCCTTAAAAATTAAGGATAGCAAAGGGATGTGACCGAAGTGTTTTCTCTCATACTGACTCTTACTCGACATTTTAATTGTTTCACTTGAACATATTTTATCTTGATTTTCTACGATTATTTTTGGCATTTAATCTCAATCCGAAAAATATGTGTGATTTGCTTTTGATTCGATTGATTTAAAATTTAATTTGTTATAATTTTTATTAAAATATAATTTTTAATATAAATTATATTTTAATTTTATATAAAAAAAAACTTTAATTTTGTGGCCATAAACAAAAGAAAAAAAAGAACTGTTAGAAGTTTTAAAATCGGAGTGAGGATTGAGTTTTTTAGATTGGTAAATATTTTTACCTCATACCTTATGCATTTTAAAGATTAGTTAGCAACAGAGAAAGATAATTGTCTTTTTCAAGTCATCTAAACACGGTATTGCAAGTCTATGCAACAAATTGCTGGGAAAATGCATTATTCATATGTATAATTCCATGACATTTACAGAACAATCAATGACAACAATTGTCTAACAAAAAGTAGAAGACCTCGACTACTCCATCTCCATATAAATTCATTAGTCTCAGGAATTCATAACATGCTACAATTGAACCCCAGATATTCAAGCTAAATAGATATGGCCTCATCCTTAACCAAATATTCCATTTTTCTAGGGGTGTTCTGGAGTACCATCCTTCTTTCCTTTGCTACAACCCTGTTAGCAGCAGTTTCTTCACTGGAATCAGAAGCTGTGGCTTTGCTAGAGAGTGGCTGGTGGAGTAGCTATAGCAACGATACTTCACAACGTTGCAAGTGGCTCGGTATTTCATGCAACAATGCAGGAAGCATCACCAAAATTAACCCATCTCCTGACGTGATTCAGGTTGGTGTTAGATTTGGAAAATTAAATTTCTCTTCATTTCCAAATCTTGTCCTTCTTGATCTTAGCGACCGTAAACTTGGTGGAAATATCCCGCCTCAGATAGGTGATCTATCCGCATTGAAGTACCTGAACTTGTCCTATTGTGGGTTATCTGGTGAGTTACCTTCTTCCCTAGGAAACCTAACCCAATTAGAGTTTCTTGACATTTCCTATAATGATAACATTAATGGTTCCATCCCTCCACAAATAGGGAATTTGAAAAACCTTGTTAGTTTAAATTTGAGTTGGAATCAGTTTGCTGGTCCAATCCCTTCTGCTTTGGGTCTATTAACCTATCTTAAATCTCTGGATCTTCGGAGCAACAAAATTAATCGATCTATCCCATCAGAAATTGAATATCTAACAAATTTGATTTATTTGGATTTCTCTAACAACATGCTTGTCGGTTCAGTACCTTTTACTCTGTATCAATTAACCAATTTGGCAACTCTGTACCTTGATAGTAACCAACTTGAGGGCTCCATACCTCCAAATGTTGAAAATTTGAAGAACCTAAGAGTTTTAAGCATCTATGATAATAGATTTACTGGTCTTATTCCTCTAGCTTTATGTCGTTTGACAAAATTGGAAGAAGTTTACCTTTTACAAAATGAAATCAATGGTTCCATTCCTTCAGAAATAGGAAAAGCTTAACAACCTCAAATATTTATATTTTGGAGCTAACAACCTTACTGGGCCAATCCCTTCTTCTATTGGTAATTTATCAAAATTGCAGGCGATGTCCCTTGGTTCAAATCTTCTAGAAGGTCCTATACCAAAAGAAATTGGGAATTTAAAATCACTATATCTATTAGACATCTCTGAAAACAAAGTAAGTGGTTCTATACCTTCACAAATTGGGAGTTACTTAAATTTGCCGGTATTGTACCTAAGCAACAACAATTTAGAGGGATACATCCCTCCTAAAATTGGGAGTTGCTTAAATTTGCAGAGATTGGACCTAAGCAACAATAATTTAGAGGCGTACATCCCTCCGCTTATTGGGAGTTGCTCAAATTTGCAGGAATTGGACCTAAGCAACAATAATTTAGAGGGGTACATCCCTTATCAAATTGGGAGTTGCTTAAATTTGTCTGCATTGGACCTAAGTAGCAATAATTTAGAGGGGGAGATCCCTCCTCAGATAGCCAAGTTTTCGAAGCTACAATTTTTAAATCTCAGCTACAACAAACTCTCAGGTCAAACTCCTGACTTGGGTGACACTAAACTCCGGATTATTGATACCAGTAATGGTTGTAAGACTATCTATCCCAATCCATTTGAAGGCAACAAGGATTTATCACCCTACCCCTGTGATTCACCAACCATTCAAACCAAGAGCAGTAGAACTCCTTACTTCACAAAAATATTCCTACCTATTGCCATATTCTCTACTTTTTCTATTCTAGGGTGTTTGTTTTTGTGGCCGTTCGAGGCCAAAAAGAACCAATCTGGTTCACAAACAACAAAAAATGGGGATTTGAGCTCAACGTGGAACTTCGATGGAAGGATAGCATATGCAGACATTATTGCAGTAACAGAAAATTTTGATTTTCGATACTGCATTGGAACAGGCGGTTATGGAAGTGTTTACAAAGCGCAACTACCTTGTGGTAAAATAGTTGCTTTGAAAAAACTTCATCGCCTTGAAGCTGAGGATCCGGGTTTCGACAAGAGTTTCAGGAATGAGGCAAAAATTTTGTCTGAAATTCGACATCGAAATATTGTGAAACTTCATGGATATTGTCTACACCAGCGAAACATGTTTCTGATATATGAATACATGGAAAAAGGAAGCTTAAGTAATGATGATGAAGCTGTGGAGTTAAATTGGATAAAAAGAGTTGAGATCATCAAATCCGTTGCTCATGCCTTGTCTTACTTGCATCATGATTGCACCTCCAATTGTTCATCGAGACATATCAAGTAACAATATTCTACTAAACTCAAGCTTGGAGGCTTTTGTGGCTGATTTTGGAGCAGCTAGAATGCTACATCTTGATTCATCTAATCTGACTGTTCTTACCGGTACATGTGGCTATTTAGCCCCTGGTATTTTTTTTTTAACTTCTACTACTTCATTGCGTTTCCTTTCTTTTCTTTTCTTTTGTCAATATTGGTCCTCCTTCAATTATATTTGGTTTTTTTTTTTTTTTTGATATCATAGTATTTGAGTGATGATAAAATAAATCACACATCAATCCTGAACATAAAAATATAACAATGATCTATATATTTATTGTCAATTAATTTTAGGTTAAATACATATTTCAAATTTTAATAGACAGGGATTTAAAATAATAAGTAAACATTATTACTAATTATTTTATTATGTTATCATATCTTTTTTTTTAATGTATGTAATTTGTTTATGCAGAACTGACCTACACAATTGTTGCAACTGAAAAATGTGATGTCTATGGTTTCGGGATTTTGGCATTAGAAACATTAATGGGAAAGCATCCTGGAGAACTTTTATCATCATCATTGTCATCGCCATGTTCTTTGCAAAATATCAAGCTAATTAATGTGTTAGACAGACGACTACCACTTCCAACAAGCCAACTGGTTGCACAAAATATTGTTCACGCGGCTACACTGGCATTTGCTTGTTTACATACGAAACCAAAGTCCCGACCAATGATGGATGAAGTTTGCAAGGAGTTTCTTTCTTCCCAAACATCCTTGGAGATTCCTCTTCGAATGGTTACTTTATTGCAACTTGTGAACCATGAAATGCATAGTGGTGGCCAAAGTGGAACTTGTCCCGTCTAAAGCCGCTAATTAACTAATTTTGTTTGTAAAACTTTTTATCAATTTGTAGTGTACTGTTATTGTCAACTCTTATTGTTTAATCCCATAACGAAATAATTAGAATTTTTTGAATATGCATTTGATTCATGTGTATTTGTCTAAAATCAATTCATTTTATCCTCTTGATCGTTTTGTCCAATTTCACTTTGGAATTACTTGATTTAACAATCATATTTGGTCACTCTAGAGTAAAAAAATTCATATTTGCTCATTAATAAAATGATATTAAATTATAAGATAATATTTATACATTAATAATGCATCAAATATAAATTCAAAAAAAAAAAAAAAAACCTTTGGCCTAGCCAAATATATGTAGTCCTTTGACCGGTTCAAACTCATGTCACTGTATCCTTTGCCCTCTTCAAAGTAATGTGGTTTGCTGACCAACACAAGCTCCCCTAAAGCGTGTAGAAGATCTCCTTACTTGGAGTGACCACTATAAACACCATTTTTTTAACTATTATTATTATTATTATTATTATTTATTTAATTTTTTTCTTCTTTTTCTGTTTTTTATTTTTTTTCTCTCTTTTTTCTTTCTTCTTTCTTTCCTTCTTTCTTTTTCCTTATTCTTCTTCCTTATCCGATTCAAGTTGACTAAGCATGAGTGCATTAAATGCACTCTCCTAAAATCCAAAACCACCACCGGCAGCCGTCGACACTAGCCAAAGCGTGAATGTCAGCTTATCACGCTAGTTGAAAAAATGAGACTTGAATCCTTGAAGATCTAGGATTTGAATCCCAGCAAGCTCTATAAATAGAGCTTGTAATCTGCGAAAAAGAAAGGAATCGAAAAAAGAAGGCGAAAAAAATAAAAAAAAAGAGCTTTCTGTAAAAAAAAAACAAAGCCATTTTGCATAAACAAAACAAAGGCAAAAACATTCCCCTGGAATAGGGAACCCAGCGCTTGAGAAGCTACTTACAAAAAAAAATCAATTTTAGTTTAAAAAAAAAACTTGAAAGTTTAAGCCCCGATCTACGTTTATCAGGGCTATTTCTGATGAAAATAAGGTCAGATCTAGAATGAGGACGAAAAAAGGAAGCTTTTGGGAGATTGTAGAATTTTTCTACCACCGATGACGGCGAAGGAGCTACCGGCCGACGATTTTTTTTTTCTTTTTTTGGCTGAGTAAAAAAAAAAAGAAGGTTTTTTTTTCTGCTGAAGGAAAAGAATGAATGAAATTTTTTTTTTGACTTTTATATAGAAGACTAAATCCAAAACAACGTCATTTCAATAATGTCCAAAACAACGCTGTTTTAAGACCTAAGGATCTGCTCGTCGACCCGCAACCTAACCCAGGATCTGCGCAACCGACCTTACGATCCGTTCTTCCTTTTGACTTTGACCAATCCATCTAAATTGAACCAGACCGAACCGGACCGCGCCCAAATTGCTAAACTGACCCAGACTGAACCGTTGACGCCGAACCGACCGAATCGGTCCAGACCCGCGTTGACCGGACTATTGACCGATCTGGTTCAGGTAAACAAATTTTTTTTTAATTTTTTAAAGATTTTTTTATATATATTATTTTTGTTATTTTAATTATTATTATTGATATTTATGTATGTAAAAATGTTTAAATTTACCAAAATAAATTTTTATTGTTTTATAATATTAATTAATAATATAAAATTGATAAAAAAAATAAGAAAAGAAAATTTTATCCGACGATGAGATTCAAAGGTATTCCAAGTAGTGATGCCTACGAAATCTCTAGGTGAGAAGATTTTTTTTAAAATACTATAAGTGTATTGGAGTATTTATAAAATTTTTTTTCAATACAATAAAAATTTTCTTTTTTTAAAGTAATAAATAAAAATTAATTAATAAATTAAAAATGTAAGTAATAAAAATGAGAAGAAAAGCAATTTTATCCGATGATGAGATTCTAAAAGTATTCCGAGTAGAGATGCTTTAAGAAATCTGTAGGTGAGAAGATTTTTTGTAAAATATTACCAGTGTATTGGAATTTTTATAGAAAATCTTCAATATAATTAAATTTTTTTCTTCAAAATTTCAATTAAAAATAAATATTAATAAAATAATTAATAAAATTTCTAACAAAGGAGAATAAAATGTGTGCATAAACATAGTAACATTTTGTATTACATGCATAACATTTTTTTACGAAAAGTAAATTCGAGCCTCAGAGGATGAGATTTTTGGTATTTCGAGAAGCGATGCCTAAGAAATCTCTAGGTGAGAAAAAATTCTTCTAATGTTACCAACATACTAGAACATTTTAAGAATTATTTCAATAAAAAGATTTTAATTTATTTTTCTTGAGAATAAAATTTTTTTTCTAATAAAAAAATCAAGAAAATTATCTTTCAAACACCAAAAATAATATTTTTTTTATCAAAATCAAAGGATAACACATAGTTAATTGGTACCATTTTAAACAGGCACTGTGGGGGTGCTAATCCTTTCCCACACATAACCGACTCCCGAACCCAGACTGTTGCATAGACCCTAAAATTATCTTTTTAATTAATTAAAAGGATATGTTTTAATAGGTGGCCAATCACACCTAGTTAAAAAAAGATTGGTGGCGACTTTTTTTTTTATTTTTAAATTCATTAGGCGGACACAAAACCATTATGACAGCTTGGCAACTCCATTAGGGATAGGAATTGCTTTTAAGAGTCAGGCCAAAATTAACTACGTGTTATCCTCAAATTTTGATTTAAACAGTCCTAATTGATTTCTTAGATTTTTATTTTTCATTTTCAACCAAAAAAAAGTAAAAAAAAAAAAACAAATCAAAAACAAAAAAAGTTCACACACATTTCTTTTACTATGCTTTTTTTTATACTTTATTTTTTCTATATATATTACTCTCAATAAATTAGGATACATTTGCACACACAATGACATGCTACATCTCATGCATGAGCTCTATACCCGAGCTCTGTCCCTTATAAGAGGAAGTAAAGTACCTATGCCCTCGTGAGGTGATAACCTTCGCAATGGTAAGCGAAATACTTTCACTCAAATTGAACCCTTTTTGTTCATAGCCTGTAATGGGTGAGGATTGGGGTCCCTTACTAGTCTAGCGTAGATGATAGTGAAGAATAATTTAGGAACCTTTAGACACGTGTCAATCTAAACCCAGCATGTAATAAGCCTATGAAACCAACCTTAGGTACAGCCTCGTCTACCTTCTTGTAGGAAATACCTAAGAATAAAAGTTGTGTGTAATACAAAACAAAACAAAAAATCTTAAAAAATATATTTTTTGTTTTCAAACCCCATCCTCACACGAACTCAATTTTATTTTTTTCTTTTTTTTACATAAATCATATTATACAGTTTTGCATCAAGATATTTGCTCTAAGACATATTTCTCCCTAAAAAAATTTCATGGATCTCGTAGAACTTCAGATTTGCTCATCCTCAGTCAGTGTCCCATGTGAGCCGTATAATGAAGTATATGTTCGGTCAAAATAATGAAGATTGCTTGCCTATATGCTATGTGTCAAAGTTACCTAAGAAGGTGCATTTGGATCTCATATAGAATGATTTAGAAGATTTAGCTGCTATCTAGGGATAATTAAATGAAGAAATAAAAGAAAGCTTTTGTAAGAAGTATGGGCAGATTGCATCCCTCATTTCAGTAGTGATCGATGAGCAATTTATAAGGGCAGCTATACAATTTTGGGATCCATCCTATAGATGCTTCACTTTTAATTGGGAAGATTTGATGTCAACTATTGAAGAGTATTCAATTTTGCTCGAGATAAAACTATAGTGTCCAGATAAAGTATTCACTCGAAAGCCAAAATTAGGTTATTGTAAAAAGTTGGCCAAGCTTATGGGGGTTAAAGTGGAAACCATTGATTTCTTTGCGAAGCCTAAAGGTGAACATCTCGGCATTCGTTGGGACTTTTTTCGAAACTTCATTCAGGAGAATTTAAATGATGACAAAGGCATGGTTGTGTTTGTTTTATCATTGTATGGCATGGTAATCTTTCCAAAGACTTTAAGTTACATTGAGATAACTGTAGTGGATTTTTTCAAGCTAAATTGAAACCCAAGCAATTAATCCCGCACCAGTTATCTTAGCAGAAACCATTCGATCATTAAATTTCTATCGACGAAATGGAAAGGGATAGTTCATAGGATGTGCACCGCTATTATATGTGTGGGTTAGAAGTCATTTTAAATGCGGGAAGAGTGCATTTTCAAAGCCGTATCTATGAAACAAAACACTAATTGAAGAGTTCTGCAAGAGTCAATGGCCTACATTGAAAATTAAGGAAGAGTGGGTCTTTTCTTACGAAGGATTACCAATGATGAAATTGAATGGATGGCACCTTGGATGCCTCAAGTGCCTTTGTTGTATCGTGACGAAAATGAGCCGTGGATACCATTGTTAGGATTATGGGGTATTGTAAGTTATACTCTATTGATGGTACTTAGGCAATTTGGTGCAAAACAGTTTGTTCTTGCCACTTATGGCTTAGTCCAAGTAGAATTCATTTATGGGGAACCAAATCCATCAAGAACCTCAGAACAATTGATCCAAGCATAGAAAAGAACATGAAGAATAAGGTTAGGGCCTCTCACCGATAAAGTCACTCATGATTACCAGATTTGGAAAGCAAGGCGGCCTAGAGAGATAGTACTCTCTCCTGATGATGGCTCACACCAATTAGCTAATCTTTCAATAAAAGTACAATTATCAAAAGTTGAGCTTGTGAAGAAAGAATTAAAAGTTGAAAAAAAAGAAATAAAAAGAGAAAATTTGAGACTTTGTGAGAATGTAAGACAACTAAAGTATGAAGCAAAGATACAAGGGAGCAGATTAGAAAAAACCATAAAAGAACGAGATGTGGCTAATAGTGATTTGAAAGATCTACACTAGAAAAATAAGAGGTTATGAATCTAATTCAAAACTAAAAAAGTCACTAAGTCTTACCTTAGCCGGTAATACAAAGTAGATGAGCTCCAA